CCATATTAGCAAACAGTGAATATTATTTTTCTAGACAATGTACTACTTATTATAAAACACTTTTTCTAGGTGCTGGGGATACAGCAATGAAAAAACATAGATAAATGTCTCCTCCCAAATGAAACAATTTCCAATTGAAGGCACACAGACAAATATAATGAAGTAAATAAATGTCTGTCAGATGATATGGCAGATAAGTAATGGGAGAACCGCAGAGTGGTATTGTGGGGAACATATTTAGTTTAGCGTGGTCAGGAAAAGCTTCCCTGATAAAGTGACATCCAAGCAGTGAGCTGTGTGGTTATCAAGCGAAAAGGATATAGCATGAGGATGGGAGAAAGGTTTAACAAATCTGATACACTGTATTTTATCAACAGCCAGAACAACAAAATCAACATCACTTAAAATAGCAGCAACAGAGAAGCTGAACTTTCCCACATAAAATGTATACTAAATTTTTAGTAGCTATACTTTAATAACTGAAGAGTTAATGTACTTCCCTAAATATTTCATTTCCTTCAACTAATTTTTAGCTAGAGGTGAGAGAGAAACAGGTTTATGTAAACTCCCCGTAAGGAGTGTCAATGTAAAAATACTGTTAACAGAAAGCTACAAAGAGTGTACATGTATCGTACCACACGCCCACAGGCTACATTTGAATTTCAGATAAGCAATGAGTAATGTTTTTGTAGAACTAGATCCCTACTATTGCATGGCACAAAACGACATTACAAATGTATTCCTTGTATAACTGAAATTCAAATTTAACTGGGTGTCCAGTATTTTTGTTAAATATGACTACCTTACAAATTGGACACTCTATACTACATAAAATATTATTTTAAAAGGATAACTTAAAAGAATGAGATAAATACTACAAAGAAATCAATAAAATATCCGATAAAGTTCAGGCGTATAAGCGACTTTCTGAGCACCTTCTTTTAAAAGGTTGGTAGACAGGTGAAAATGCACATCTCCTAGATGACTAAACAGCTCCCAGAAAAAGCAACGTCTTTCTTGCGCCTAACTCCATCTACCACATCTCCCAGAATATCCCACGCGCAGCGCCCTCTGCGTGCGCCGGCGCCCTAGGAATTCCCGGGGCCGCCAGTCAGCTAAAGGTAGAAAGACGCCACAGCCGCCTTTGGACAATGTTTTGTTACAAAAATACGGCTCTACCCGTAGGCGGCGGTCTAGGTCGCACTGACAGGACCCAAGTACCCTCCGGACGCGTCCACCCGTCTTCGCCACCAGGGTCCCCCCTCCCACCCTCTCGACCCGCGCCACCAGGTCCAACAGCCCGGCCCGCCCCGCAGCCCGTCGCTCGAGGACAGGTGCTCGAGGCGCGGACCCGCGGACTCGGGAACCTGCTCTACTCACAAGGTCAGGCGTGGGAGGCGCGGACTCCCCGGGACAAGGAAAACACAGCCCCATAGGGACGACCAACTGGGGTACCCCTAACGGGTCCGCCCCAGGCCAGGCGGCGCTAACTGCGCGGTACGATGCACGTCCCTGGTCTTCCGCGCTTGCCCCGCCCCCACCGCCGTCCAGTGGCTCGGCTCCGCCCCTGCAGCAACGCTCCGCCCCCACCCCGAGGCTTCGCCCCGCCTTTCTTTGTGGCACCGCCTCGCTCTTCTAGCGACTCCACCCCGCTCTTCTCGCGATTCCACCCCGTCTCCGCAGCTCAGCTGCGCCCACCTAAGGCTTTGCCCAGTCTCCCACCCACAGCTCCTCCTAGCCCCGCATCGCGAGAGCCGGGCCTGTGACCAAAGCCTAGGTTCCGGGGAAACACCTGCTGCAGGCAGCAATGCAGGGAAATGATGGAAAAGTTTGCCTATGGTTCCAAAGCTCTTCCTGTTAAGCTCTACCAATTATAAATGAGTGAGTGGCACAACTCTGGATAGTTCGTGCTACCTTTTTATGAGATGGGACCCTGGTGTCCTAGAAATTAAAGCCAAAATTCCAAGTTAACATCAGCACCGATTGCTGCCTTCTTAATGACAATGCCATTCCAGTTGAGAGGGCAGAATATCAAATCCATTATTATGACTATGAATCTTGCCTCATAAATGTGGCATTAGTTGAGATTTCCACTAGTTTCTGGTATTTAGGAATCATACCTCGGAGAGTAATAATAAAGTTTCATCTATCGGGAAATATTTTAATGAAATTCTTCTCAAATTTTAATAAGTATGAGAATCACCTGGGAACCTAGTTAAAATTTAGCTGCTGATTTAATAAGTATAAGGTGGGGCCTGAGATTCATTTCCAGTAAACCCACAGGTGATACTGAAGTTGTGCATCTCCTTTCCACACAACGCTTTAATTTTATTTTTATTTTTGCTTTTTGCATTCTATTAGTTATTTTTGCTTGTTTGAAAATTTTCAAACATAACAAAAATGTAGGATGTATAATGATAATATCTCAGAAACCATTCTCAGCTTTTTGATGTATATTCTTACCGGTTTTTTTATAGATATATAATTTAAATATAATAAATATGAACCTATTTTGATTATAGAGTTCACTGAGTTTTAAAAAACATTAATTCATATGATCACCACATTCAAGATATGTAAGTTTTCTGTCACCCAAAAAACTTCTGTTGTACCCAGTTCCGTTCAATACTCTATCCCATAACTAGATCCAGGAAACAATTTGTTTAATATCACTATAGTCTTTAAGTTTTACATAAATATTAATATCACTATAGTCTTTAAGTTTTACATAAATGATATATACAATATATGTTTTACATATATTATCAACTGTGTGGTCAACTGCAGTCCAAAAATATTAAATGGAAAATTCCAGAAATAATTCATAAATTATAAATTACATACCTTCTAAGGATCTGGTGAAATCTTAGGCTGTGGTAATCCATTACACCCAGGATGTTAATGATGTGAATCATCCCTTTGTCCAGCATATCCAGTGTCTAAGCTACCCACCCATTAGTCACTTAGTGGCTATCTCAGTTGCCACTTTAACTGTTCCAGTATTATGGTGCTTGTGTTCAGGTAACTCTTGTTTTATTTATTAATGGCCCCAAGTGCAAGAGTAGTGATGATGGCATATTGTTACATTGTTTTATTTTATTATTATTGTTAATCTCTTATTGCATCTAACTTTAAACTTTATCATAGGTATAGTTATCTAGGTTCTATACATAATAGATGATATCATAGGCATCAGAGATGATACATAATAAGTGTCACCTATTATGTGTAGAAAAAAAGTGCAGAAACAGTTACTGACCAAGATGGCCTTAATGTTTCCCATTGCCTGACTAACTTTTAGACAGGGTTCTTTCTGATTGACCTCTGACCTCTCTATTTTTAGACCATTTACTTTAGAAAACTTGCGAATTGTAAATTTTTTCTGCTCTTTTAAGATGTAAATCTTCTGTCCTCTTATCAATACTAGAAGGCAGAACCATCTTTCTCAGCAAACTAGGTGCCATCTCTTTGAAATGCAATAATTAAGAAACTAAACCTTTCCTTATCTCCTACTCTGACTTCCCTAAGCACCAATCAGCAAACACAGATGGTACAACCATATTGACTAACATACAGTGCTTTTCCACTTAGTGACCTCTGTGCTTAAAATCTCTCCTGCCTTTTTTTAGTGACATTGAACCCTCTCTTTCAGTGCCCTATTACAGTAGTCTTAAATAAAGTCTTTTGTTACTGTTTAACTCTGTCAGATGCAAATTGTCTTCGATATTAGTTGAGTTTTTGACAATTAATTATATGTGCCCATGTAAACACTGTAAGAAAGTATACATTTCCATTACCCTAAAAGGTTACCTTGTGCCACTTTCCAAACAAACCCATTGACCTCTAGCCCGAGAAAAATATTGATTTAATTTCTGTCTCTATTAACTGCATTTTCTAGAATTTCATAGAAATTGAATTATATCATAAATTCTTCTTTTGTCTGGCTCTGCTCTTTCTACATAAAGTTTCTGAAATTCGTCAGTGATATTGTGTGTTTCTTAAGTAATATTCCATTGTTATAGGTATGCTGCATTTAAAAAGTTAATTTGCCAGGGAGCACAGTGGCTTGTGCCTAGAGGTTGAGCCCAGGAGGTTGAGACCAGCCTGGGCAAAATAGGGAGACCCCATCTCTACAAAAAATACAAAATTAACTGAGTACGATGGTGTGTGCCTGTAGTTCCAGAGACTGGGGAGGCTGAAGTAGGAGAGTTATATGAGCCCAGTGAAGTCAAGGCTGGCGTGAACTGTGATTGCACCATTGCACTCCTGCCTGGGCAATAGGGTGAAACCCCATCTCGAAACAAACAATGACAACAACCCCCCAAAACCTGAAAAAGTCGATTTACCTATCCATGGATGTATGGACTCTTTTGAGCCTTTTCAGGCCATTATGAACAAAGCTCCATGAATATTTGTGTGCAGCTATTTGTATGAAACTTTTTCATGTCTCTTGACTACCTAAAAATGGGATATATTTTACATCTGTGGAAATGAGGACTAAATTCTGATTTCTTTATCTTGCCCAAATTCCTATTTAAGGGGTCTGGGGAGTCATGTTCTACAAATCATAAATTCCCATCAGATGGGTTTTATTTAACCCTATATATCATGATTTATGTTCCAACCTAACTCTGGCTTACTATTAGGAGACGAAGAAGAAAATTAAAATACGTTTACCCCAAAACATGTTTCTTTGCCATATTTTGAAATGGTCTTCTAAAGCTTTCTTTGTAGGGGAAAATTTGTGTCTGTAAAGAAATTCTATTAACATAGCTAGATCTATTTCTTCCAGACCCTCCCAATCCTAAAGAGATTAAGATCTTTATAGAAACATTTCCCACCTGTTGTCTCTAAGGGCAGCCACTTTAAGACTTCAAAAAACTTTGGTCTCTACAATCTTTATCTTAACCTGAACATTCACTTTCTGTCTACCCCAGGTCTTTAGACAAACTCAACAAATTATCAACCACAAAATGTTTAAATTTACCTATGGCCTGGAAGCTCCTGCTTTGAGTTGTTCCGAATTTCTGGACTAAACAAATGTATTTCTTAAATGTATTTGATTGATGTCTCATGCCTCTCTAACATGTATGAAACCAAGCTGTGCACGAAGGACCTTGAGTACATGTTCTGAGGGCTGTGTCATGAGCCATCATCACTCATATTTGGCTCAGAATAAATATCTTCAAATATTTTACAGAGTTCACCTCTTTGCAGGGACAATAATATGGTGCCCAAACACGTGGAGCCTCAGAAGACTCAGGTTGCTGAAGGAGTATCTGGAAATCAGAGCTAAGGTACCAGCTGGAGCCCATTGAAGCCTCACGGAGTTTGAGCTTCTCCTCCTGTGGAACTGGTAAGTCCTCCTGAGCCTCCTACCTCCTTTTTTGCTTGATGTTCCTTGATTTATTCTGGACTGGTTTTTCTCCTAGGAATTTGTTGTTTAAGGATCCTAGCTTGAGTTCAGAGATGCGTTTCTTTCTTTCTTTTTTCCAAGATGCAATCTTACTGTATTGCTCAGGCTGGAATGCAATGACATGATCTGGGCTCACTGCAAACTCTGCCTCCTGGGTTCAAGTGATTCTCCTGCCTCAGCCTCCCGAGTGCCTGGGATTACAGGCGCCTGCCCCCACGCCCAGCTAATTTTTTGTGTATTTAGTAATAATGGGGTTTCACCATGTTGGCCAGGCTGGTCTGGAACTCCTGACCTTGTGATCTGCCTGTCTCGGCCTACCAAAGTGCTGGGATTACAGGTGTGAGCCATCGTGCCTGGCCTGGAGATCCATTCCTAAAGGCACTCCTCAATTGCTTTTCTCTCAGAATTAATCTTAATTTGGCTTGTCTGTACACATTTGCAGGAGGAACCAAACTGTCATTTTCATCCACAGCGCATCAGTTCCTCCTTTAAAAAAAATAGTAGGAAAGAAATTAAGAATATGGAGAAAACAAGGAGAATAACCCCCCTTTTGAGTACTCCGTAGGTTTTATGGCACCTCTACTTTCCTAGTTAATGTAAAACGGAACTAATATAGTCTTTGTGCACATTTACATTAAGGAAAAAGAGCCCGAAGGTCGACCCACAAACTATAGAGTTCCTAAGTTCTATTTCTCTATTTTCTTTTCTGCCTGCCTTAAATCTGGTGTTACTTTCATACGGAGATTAAAAAAAAGCTGTTTGGATATAGCCACTTTTTTGCAAGCCAGCGAATTTATATTCATCTCATGGCCAAAGTACTAAAGTAAACTTATAGAATCTTTGTATGTGTATGTGTATGTATGTATATATGTGTGTATATATTTGAAGAACTTTATAAATTGTATAATTTTATTTTCAATTGGCAGTTAAATCCATTTTAATTTTCCATTGGCATACCAAACTTTTTCTCCCTGTACCTTATGATGTAAATTTTGCTGAATGATTGTCACCTGAGTTGTTTCCTTAATATGCAAATTTAGGTTTATTTAGCTGACAATTGCTTAGCGTGGTGCAACATGTTATCAAGAATTTGAAAGTGTAAAATTGAAAAAAAAAAAAAAAAGGAAAAGGAGGTCTTTATGTATCTATAAAATGTCTCTCTGTCAGCATGCCTAGATATGTCCATGTATTTATGTCAAGGACACTACTAAAATAAAAAAAATAGGTAAAGTGCTTAAATCAGATACATAAAAATGACTAAATGTGTTTTCCAGTTTATATGACTTAAGTAAAATCTTTAATAAATAAGGTAGCTTTAAAATTATTGGTAAAATAATATCAGCAATGTTAGCATTTTGTTTGCATCCTTTGATCAAGTAGTTTCATGTTTATTCCTGCAGAATACTATGAGATTTGCCATAAGGCAAAGCCCAGCCCCAGAAAGAAAGATCTTTGCTTGTATATGCTTATGAAATATTGTTGGCTTGAAGAAAACAGCTAAATCCTGAGTTATTGGTATAAATATCCTTAAAATTAATGACAAGTTTTATTGCTTAAATAAATAACTGAAATTCAGTTATAAAAATGGTTAATAGGAAAATAACTTTGAGTATTGGCTATCATGGTTTTTATAAATAATGTAGGTAAACTAATAATCAGGTAAGTGTAATGAAATAAATGCTTATAAAAGCATTTATTATGACAAACTTGTCATAATTTAGGATCTAAGGTTATTATTTGATATTAAGTATCTAGGTAATTTCCAATTTAAAAATTATAGAAACACTTTTTTTTTTTTTTTTTTTTCCGAGACGGAGTTTCGCTCTTGCTACCCAGGCTGGAGTGCAATGGCGCGATCTCGGCTCACCGCAATCTCTGCCTCCTGGGTTCAGGCAATTCTCCTGCCTCAGCCTCCCGAGCAGCTGGGATTACAGGCACGCACCACCGTGCCCAGCTAATTTTTTGTAATTTTAGTAGAGACGGGGTTTCACCATGTTGACCAAGATGGTCTCGATCTGTTGCCCTCGTGATCCACCCGCCTCGGCCTCCCAAAGTGGAAACACTTTTTAAAAATGTTCTTATTAAAGGTAAAATATCTTCATCTAATTCAAAGCTTATTTAAGGGTTATGTATGAAACAAGGAAAAGGAATCAGGAAACAAGAGCTATAAAGAAAGTTAAAGATATAAAGAGGTATTTTTGGTAAAGAAGGTAAAAAAGAAAGTAATTTTATATAAGAAAGAGTCTTGCATGGTGAATTTTCCCCCTAAAATAAAACAACTGGATTGTTCAAGAAAAAGGGATATTTAGGATAAACCAGAAAGTCTAACCACTGTGAATGGTCTATTTAAGTCATAATTTGGTTACTAAAAATAATTTTTAAAAGGGTTGTATAATTCAGTTGGCTGTAATTAAAAAGAAACTACAATAATCTTTCTGGAGATGAGTCTTTAATATTAAAAATACACTAATACAAAACTAAATAATTGATTAAAACAAGATTTTATTACAAATGTTGACTTATTTTTAGTGCAAGAAGTTTTTAAGTTTCTCAATTCTATAACCTCCTCTTAGGCATTCTTCAGACTGATATCTTAAAAAGTACCACTCTTTTTCTTTTGAAAAGGCCTAGAATAATGGCTCTTTCCATCACCTTTTGTTGGCTCCTGTACCTTGTACTAATTATCTAAAATAAGAGAAAGACTTTTTTTTGAAAACAGGCAAATAAAGACATGACTTTTAGTTTGCATGCCTGTTATATACCTATCTTTATATGTATCATGTGGAAGTGATATTTCACCACCATACATAAAAGAGCTCTAATCAAGTAACTTAAAAAATGCAAGTGCTTATCAAATTGGTAGAAGCTATCTCAGATGCCTTTTAATCCACATAAGGTTGGTAATCTGTAGTAAAATTAATTTGGTAAATTTAATCTCAATCTCAAAACTCTTTAGTAATTTAAAAATCTTAAAGTTGTGAGTAAACCCTCAGGTTTTTCCCACTGGAAATTTGAGTCACTAAAAAGTTAAAGAAGTAGAAGCATAAAGTATGCTTTTGTTAAAATCTTATAAGCACAAGGATGTCAATTCTCAAAAAATGTAAATTTTGGGGATTAATAAACTAAGAGTTGCTTTATAATGAAAGAAATTATACAGATAAAACTCAATAAATAAAAAACACACACACACAAGCCAGGGCAGCAAAACTCTGAGCCCCATGGTTAACAAGAAAATAGTTGATATGGAGAGGGGTAAAACCAAATAACTATTTAAACCCAAAGGGTGTAATGTAAAGCAATTGTTCAGTTTTGTAGATTGGTATCATTCAGCTTTTTAAAAAATATCTTTACTATAGTAGATTGTAAAAATAACCACTCTAAGGACAAAATTATTACCTTTAAATGCTATAGAAATTAAGAGTTTGTTTGGATTAATGTAAGACCCACACTCATTACTGAACAATCACTGAGTATATGTGTTCTAAATGCACAGGGGGTTATTCCTAAGAAAGCAATCAGCCTAGTGGGCCACATAATGCCATTGTAAGATCTGCTTGGCCTGAGAAGGGAACTGCCCAACTCTCCCTACAAAATACCAAGGGAAGTATCCCAGATGAAGCTGTTGATAAGCTTCATATGCAAGCCATGTTGGACTAGCTTTATGATAACTGGGATGTCCTCCTGCCAAATACGCTTGTTACCTAGGTCATGGTAAATTTGAGAGTTATGGAGACCCCTTTTATATGGGTACCCCTCTGACAGAATTACAGGACTGTTTAAGAAGCCTTATCAAATCTGCTGTCCCTCATATATCTGATAGATGTAACTACCTGCTGGGAAACCAACCCCTTTCATCAGAAAAGGTAAAATGGTCTAGAGGTAAAAAAGGGTTCCTGAGACCTGAACAAACAGTTTAATATAATTATAAAATGTAAGATGTTTAAACAAGCTTTATGTAAGGTAGTTGTAACACCTTTTACCTAGAAGTCTTATGAAAATGGGTACTATATCTAATTGGGGAATGTTTTTTCCATTTCTAGTGCTATAAAAACTGAAGGCATGTCAATTGGCTCTTTAGGAAATGTTATGTAAACACTAAACAGGAGCTAGTACAGTCGTCTAAACCTACAAAATATAGGGTAAAGCTGGAGTTGTACTTGGGACAATTCCTCTGCTCCATAGCCCTTTATGTGGAGCTTTTATCGGGGCTGATGGAGAAAAGCTGTAAGTACCTTTCAATGACAATGACTGAACTAGAGAATTTCTACTTGATGGTGCATTTACTGCCTAGCTATGAAATATTAGCTGAAGCTACCCCTATGCTAATGGAACTAATGTTTCCCAAGAGAGTTCCATGGTAAATTAAAGTGGTTTACACAAAATCTTGCTACCTAATAAGGAGAGAGCCTCTTTTCTAGGACTAATTGTGTGGACTGCTAAATTCTACAGTGCCCAATAGTTCTCATGAGCATTTTGGTTTGTAAATGGAATTTCCAAGGTAAACAAACATCTTGTTTTAAAAGCTGCTGCTCTGGCTAAAGAGGGGATAAAATTTTGTGTTTTTAAAGTTTAAGAACTTTAAGAACTCCTGTTATTTAAAAGTAACAATTAAGAAAATTAAGGCAAGCCAAGTACTAGGAGAAAATATTTGCAATAACTGTACCGGTCAAAAAAACTTATATCTATGAATTATTTTTTAAAAACCTGTTAGAACTAAATCAAATAATATAAACAAGCCAATCAAATGAACAAAATATTTAAAGTGATATTTCTAAAAAGAAGATATGTGAATAGCAATCAGTGCATGAAAAGTGCAAATTAATACCACTATGCACCCATTTGAATTGGTAAAACTTAACAACTGACTGTATCAAATGTTGGTTAGGATGAGAAACAACTGGTATGTCTTGTTTCTGATGTGACTGAAAATGGTACAGGCA